AGCACTTGTTTATCTCATGAACCAAACGTCTACTCCTCCAAATTATATAAACTGGCTATTTGATCTCCGATAAATAGCTGCATAATCATGATATTAAAACGTGTTCTAGCTGTTCTAGCGTACATCTGCATACATCAGTATATAGTTTTATCAGCCCATAATTTACCTGTGTACAGCTATCTTCCGTCTGTTGTGGTTCCCTGTCTGCAGCGACCACCAGGCTTTAGCTGTTGTAAAACCTGTACAGACACCATTGGCTACAGAGACCTTCAAATTGTCTATAAATAAAATATTCCTTAGATTAAAGAATAAGCGATATATATTTGTATTTGAATATTCTATAGTAAAGTAATCATTGCTAGTTAGAACTGCTTCATCTCATTCTATTACATGAAACATCTCCACATAACCTGTTTAAATAACCTTGACCGCAACATTATACAAGTTACATCCAATTAAAGTAAACAGGATATGCAACACATCTATTTCATCAACTAGAAATTACTTGTCAGATATGTTTACATTTTGCTTAGTTTAACATCTACAACGACGGCAGTTTATATGAACAACAATATGCAAGCTGTATCCTCTTCAGCAAAATTACTTATTTATCTTAAGTTGCTTTCCCTTCGCTAAGTTTGTTTATACACACCAAATATCGTGTAGAAATGAACAAAATTATCGGTTACATCATATCTATAAAAGCAGACAAAGAGGATGTCGAACATGAAAACTATCATGATAATCATTACTGTGATTGATCTGATTGTGTTAGCACCAGTATTTGGAGACGACGGTTCAGGATTTATTCTAACGAAGACACAGACGTTATCTGAACTTGCCGACTGTACAGATGCAGTCGTTGATCTGGAAATCGACAGTGACAATGTGTCAGATGTGGTCATCAGTGTCCAAAACATTCTTGATACATTGAACACGCTGGACACACTAACTGGAGAAGAAATGATGTATTATCAAAGCCTTTTGGAGAACTTGACGAGGGCATTAAAGGACGAAGTCGACCTTCGTCAAATGACCTTGTCACAAATTGATGCAATAGCAGACGACACACTTCAAGAAGGCATAACGCAGAATGCCGTTTCACCGTGTGTTACTCTACAGCCAATCGGAGAGCAAGAAGTGGCGAATAACACACAATGGAGGGAAGATGAAAATGCCAACGGTTTTCGGAAAGGTATGTCATTTCTTTATTGTTTAATTTCTAATGGCAACGGAGAGCTACAATTAAAGAATATAAAACAAACAAACCATTTCAGGCAAAATTAAAATAAAATAATGGGTTTTCCCCTTTTTGTCGAAAATTTATCGTTCAAATAAGTTATGATTTTAAATTGTTTGGTTACTATATTTGTTCTTTTTTAGATTTTTTGTACGAATAACATTTAAGGACAATGTCTACTGTTACTTATCTGTTGTATTTCTCATATTTTCAATTATAGCTTAATGTAACAACACTGCGTTTGATGATTTACATAAATTTAGGGAAAATATCAATTATTGCAGATTACTGGGCACTTGGCGTATACAGATACAGTAAATTTAATGTATGCCCAGACGTGAAATGGTGTACTATCGTTCATATGGTAGTTCTACCTGACGGCTCAGTAGCTGTTTCTGATTCCAAGAACTATGAAATACGACTTTTTAGTATGCAAGGTGTATTTCTGAGAAAAATTGATGTTCTACCGTTGCAACCAAAACATATGACGTACTTCAAGGATTTAAAGTTATTTGTACGAATGAAAAACCTTAATGGAAAATACATAATAGCAGAAGTTGACTTGTGGAATATGACTCTCCGAACGATTGTAGAATTTATTGAATATTTTGTCTGGGACTACGGATGTGTTAGTCCCTTAACGGTCATGAACAACGTAATATTCGTCGGCTGTACACCATATCTATTCATGTATGATGTAAACGGAACACGTCTCGGAAACTTCACAACATCAGAGCCAAAGCCATTTTCAGTGTTTAATTCGGAACCAGGCTCAAAACGAATTTTCATTGACACACCAGTCGTAGATGGAATGTTTACGAATCGACCCACCGTAATCGATATTACGAAAGGACCTATTTGCTCATTACAAAATGTTACTCGGGCAATAACAGGAGTTATGAGTGCAAATGGCACTTTTTATGCTGTGCATGAATACGAGAGCTACCGGGTGAAGAAGTACGGACCGAATTGTGAGCCAGAGGGTACAGTTTTGGAAATAAAGAGTGGAATCGCCACGTTGGCGCTGTTTGGGGACCTACTCGTGGTACATTTACAGGTGTGGGAAAGGCGATTCAATAAAATGGTACACATATACAAACTAGGAGAATAACCATATTCAAAGTGATGTTTCATGTTATGCTTTGTTTTCAAAAGACCGACATAGTTTTGGAACGCGATTCCTTAATGTTCACTCATGAGTCTAACAATGTTTAAATAGCCCTTACTCCACAAAACGGAAGAAGAAATATCAGGTTTTAATGCGGATATCCCAGCATTCCCAAAAGCAGGCTCCCTTTTCACTTCCGCATAAAAAAGGTTAAAGTCTTTGAATGACATCTGATCAATTACTAAGAACCGCCATCTTAGTTTAACCGATGAAATGTAGAATTTTAATTTAGGCTCTTAGCATTTCTGACGAATGCTAGAAGGACGAAACAGCTGTATGATGTGTTTTTATTGCATTTATTGGTAAAATCTCTTTACAAGCAATGTCACATGGACGTACTACTCACCTCTTCCATCATTTTTGTTTTGGTTCTGATCGCGTCTGAACGTATCATGTGACTTTCCTCATCAATATTCCTATCCTGGTGTTGATTAATGAGACTTATTCCGACACCGATATCTCCGGTACCCTTTCAATTTCAAGTTCGAAACTTCATACAAGTCTTAATTATATACTATCTATTAGTATACAACAACATTTCCAATCAATAAAATACGAAAAAATATCTATAACGGAGTGGGTCTGGCTCTTTAACTTTAAGATTTTTTAAATGTAGAAATTATAATTATTAAGAAGAGATATATATCAGGTTTTTTTTTCATCTAGATCTATGCTACATTTACAAAATATTAATCGTTTATGTCAAAATTGAATGACATAGCTATTTTTACAACCTGCAAAGTAAAAAAAAATGAAAATTCTAGTTTTGGTGGAACAATTTTGTCCAAACTCTGATCGTCAATAAATCATCCCATGCAATATTGTCTGAAGCGGAAAAAATTGTAAAGCCAAATATTCTTAACATCGTTTTTTTATTTCTTATAAATAGTCCAGAAAAGTCATCATAAAAGGACGTTTTTATGAAATGTTTGAATTTGAAAATTCATTGAAAATATGGTATTCCTCCACTCTTTTCTATGAATGGAAATAACAAAAACAATTTGTTAGTAGGAAATTTAATTTGAATCCTAAATCCTATTGGTTAAAATGTTTGTGTTATATTAGTAATTCCTGTGAAAACTTTGAGCACGCGGAAATAACATAAACATTGGCAAACATTTTATTTCTCAAAATGAGGGGTTTTTAAGGTTTCTGTCACATTTGCGCGAGATGAGGGTTTGACCAACCAGATATCAACACCAAGATGACATAATGATGTACAGAACGTTTATAAATTAGTCTTTCAGAATTTCCCCTCGGTGATATTTAAATGAATTAGACTATTGTTTATTTTTAAAATTTCGAATAGAGCTAACTAAGTCCCTGTGGCTAACTTTGAAATCTCATAAAAGATTGGGCTCTCACACAGATTTCAATACGCATAACATATCACAATACATTTATTTCAAGCTTATATTGATACTGAGTTTTGGTTTTTCTTATACATTTTTAAAGACATCAAAAGCCAAAAATTGTAGCCTTCAAAATGCTTTTTCGCTCTATTCATCCTTTGATATTTAAACGCAATAGTTCTGATATATTTTTGTATCAATTTTTTAGTTGGTCTAAAATTCCTATCGTTTTGCCATCTAGTGTTACTTAGGAGGTAGATATTATAAAACTAGTATATTTAAACTTTGATTTTCGACATATTCCTGTTCGCGAGTAAAACCATCAAACGTTGTAAATTGCCTTGGTCATGCGTAGCGTACCGCGTTTGGGCATCAGACGAGAGTTTGAGCAATCAACAAATTATGCACGAATGTTCTTCGAAATTATTGATTACATATCTCTGGGTTGGTGAAACGCATTCCGCTTCGTCACAGCATGGGCGGTGTGTTATATAAGGAATTGATTTCCTTTACTTCCTTTGAAACTTCTGCCGAAGCGAGAACGATTTTTCAGCCATTTTGCCATGATTGATATCAAAGCAAATCACGTTATTATCCACCTTGATAAAGTCTGATTTCTGTTCGTTTGTTTTTGTTTTTTATTTATTTTTTTTTTTATTTTTCATTGGTTTTTCTCACACTTTCCGTCAGGTTTAGAGACTCTATTTCACAGTCATATTTTTCAAACATCATATATTCAATTTAAAATTTTGGTTTTCATTCCTGTAACTATTTTTTATCCATCTGTTAATGCTACAAGAAACAAACCAACTTGTTACTTAAGTCATGTATCATTGACACATGACTTAAACTGAAAATCGGTCAAGCATAGCAGTTCTGGCATACAGCAATTTAAGTTTCTATCAATGAAGTGCATCTAAAACACCCTTATACATTTGATATCATCACTGTGACGTTTGAAACTGAAAAAAATGAAACTTTCACTTACTACTTTAATGTGACATGAAAAAAGAGACCCAAATCAGTTGTTCAGTTCTTATCTTGTGATAAGCAATTTTTTTAATACGTTTATTTTACAGTGGAAGCAACAAACAGCTTTCTTAACCCCGAATACTATTCTCCGAAAACAAATCATTTTTACTTTGTTTCCGCTTCATTTAAATACACATTCTTATTCATCTTCCCATCCGATAATCACTTCCGATCTTCACTACTATGTATCACTGTCGTCCATATTGGTTCAACACTTACATGACGGAGGAATATTTGTTCGCCTTGCAATTTCTATATCGCCGCATAAATTTTCGTATGAGTACCACTCCGGACAGGTAATGAACCCCTTCACGTAGTCACGAGGGGCATTTATTGAAACCAGTAATGCGTCGTTATAGTTTGCGGAGCTGTGCGCATGCCCATTTTTGTTTCCCGTCTCAGTTGTTTGGTGAATGGCTAGGATAGAGTTGGTCATGTCCACGACTTTTATATGATTGCATCGCGCATGCGCAACAAGCCAGTTGTCGTAGGCTGGTCTTCCGATCACAAAATTAGGAATACTGTGCCATGGAAAATGTTTTGTTGTGATAAAATAATCTTCTGAAGAAATGACGAACAAATTTCCTCTTTCTTTTGCAGCCTTTTCCATGAATTTGTAGGAAACTAATTCTTTATTAGTAAGATGAGGAACGTTGATTCTTCTTCCTGTTAGCATTACATTTTCGTCGTGATTGAAATATTTCCGAGCAGCTAACATACTTTCTAATATGGTCTCTGTGAAGAGTATATCACCATTGGCAAACCCGTAATATGGGGTGCTGAAATTCTGTATGACTTTCTGAAACATGGCCTTAAGAACTGGAATTCCTTCCACACCAACACTCATCACTGGAAATACAGTCCATCCGTGATCACGTGACTGTTTCTTAATACGACTGTCATTTGTAAACATTACAATGTTTATGTAAGGCATAAATGATCCCCAGTTTTGTAATGTACGAACTGTTACTTCATTATGTTTAGGGTCGGGATCTACAGATGTAAACAACGTAAGTATTGGTTCTTGTATTGTTTTTCTTATATCTCTTCTGATGCTGTTACAGGTTTGCATGATATTCGTTAAAGCAAGACGGAATTTCTTTACTTCCTCCGGATATTGCTTGTCCCTTAGGCACCTCCCCGGAAGTTCCTCTTCAATTTTTTTCACGCCTTTATGTGATATGTATGACGTCATTGTTTTCAGGTAGTCGCTCATACTACAGCTACTGGTGACTTCTGGGTTTTGTTTCATTGCAATTATACTCATTACTGCAATGACTATCGTACAAAAAGTGAAAACAGCAAAGGCGACTACAAACTTTTCCATATCAACACAAATTACTGTACCCCTATTACGTTGTGTCTGATGACGTCCCCAAAATAGTTACTCCAGTGTAGTATTCATATGTAAGCTGATGTGACCTGAAAAATATATATTTCAGAATTAGTGTACCTATTTCAGTAGTAACATTGAAAACATTAATAATGGACGAACTAAATGTAGGATGAACAGATGGACATACGGAATAATAAAATGACGGCGGTTCAACACGTCAGTATGAGAAACACTGATTCAGAACAAATATAAACCAACGATACACCGACAATTTCGACCCAGAGTTGTCGTTCCTTACGCTAAAGACCATTTCTGTCTACGAATAAATAGTATACAGCAAGGCAATTGGTTTTTAAAGTCAACGTTTATCTATTGAAACTATCGCATTTTCGGCATCCTTTTACATATCGCAACTCCCCCTAAACAGTAGCAGCAACAACAACAACAGCAATATATCCCCCTTCATAATCATCATATTAACATCATTATCATAAAGCTAACCCTCGTCCAGAAGTCACCACACAATATATATATATTATCCTCATCATCATCCTCAACGACTTTTTATGATATACATAATCAATATCAACTATAAACATAACACACACATGATTTATCATGACATCGTATAATTTCCTTTCAAATCAAGAAATAAATATTTTTTAAGTGAACCATTTCAATTATGATCATACCTGTACAATATACACACATACACAACCACACATGTTAAACAAAGAATGCTAATATCCCGAAAAACATAAGAGCGTCCCCACAACGTGGGTAAAAATCTGGAAAATATCCCCTTAACTACGGTTCAATCAGACGTCAGTCTTGCACTCCCTGACAGAGTGGGATCAACAAAGGGGTATTTTACGCTTGTTATCGAATAATTTTACAATTATCTCAAAGGCAGACAAATATATTGACCTTATACATGAGCAGCTGTTTTTATTTGAATAATCCCCAGTTACATGAATGGTATAAATTGTATGGAAAACCTGACAAATAATAGACGCCTTGCAAATATTTTTAATCACTTCCTGAAATGGAAAATGATTTTGAACACGTGTATGTGAATTATGTAAACACAATATGCCATAACATTGTTCGTATCAAATTGAAATGCATTTTCTATTTCATATACATTACCTGCTTTAAACCGGATGTACACCTTGCCCTGCAGTGGTTTTCTGTATTAACACGAATACACCTTCATTGTTAACGTGTTACAGCATCATTTCGTCCTTGTGGACATCCAAACAGATCCAAAATTCTGATAATATTTCATTGTTTCCAGCGAAAAACACCAGAGATCGCTTAACAACACAAAGTAATTCTGAGACAATTCAGATGCTTGTGTTCCCGTAATGAGCTTACGTATCTTATTGTGACCGACTTAGTTTTCACCTGAAGGGCAGACGGAGATACCTGTCAATCATCGTAAGCTTTGACGTCTTTCCCTCTCTAATTAGGGGATGTCTGGAAAGCTGTTTATGGTCAATCAATAGTGGGACTATACCAAGGGCTAGGTATATCCCGTGATTCATATGATGGAGTGAATACCGAACGCCTTTGGGAAAAGACCCTGAAGTTGTAGAAATCTGATAGTTTTTTGGGGGTTTTTTTCGGATACCACAACAATTTGATAATTGACGCCCACACATAAATATGTCTGTAGAACAGCCCTGATATATCCGTTGCACTGATATCTGATTCTTTTCTATACCGTTGTTACATTAAACGAGCATGGCGGTAACATCTGTTCAATTAGAAAAAATTGTCAAATATTCAATATCTTGCATGAATTAATAGAAAGAAATTTAGAATCTATTTTTCAATAAAGAAAAATGTTTATGTATTGATAATTGTCCTGCTCGGAAGACCAGTTTTAAGATGTTTGACAAAAAAATATCAAGTCAGAGGTTTTTCAAAATGAAAAAGCTACGATCTTTTTTGAGTCGGGGATATTCAAATGGGTTCCGTCCATCCGTCCTTCTGTCCGTCTGGTTGATGCTTACGTCATGATATTTTTTAAGGACTGGTCAGAGTTTGATGTTACTTGGTTGGTGCACTTAATCCCTTGCCAAAGTTCGGTGAACGGCAAATTTCGCACATATTTAATGAGGCTGCTGTGACCTGATTGACCGATTTCCTTAATCACTATTTGGGAAATCTTTCTGCACATTATGTTATGAAGGAATGATACGATTTTTAGGAAACTTGCAGACTCACTACCTTAATTCCTTGCTCAGTGTCGAATATCATATTTTATGAGACTGCTGTGACCTGATTGGGTGATATTTATTGCACTCAAACTGAATGCTTTCCACACCGTTTGAAGGAACAAATGAACTATGACGAAACTTGCTTAGTAGATTTGTTACCTTATCCCCTTGTTCAAGTTTGATTATCGGCAAATTTAATGAGGCTGCTGTGACCTGATTGGCTGATGTTTTTTCCAGTTTTCCACGTGGCTCACTTTAAATGTATCTATTTTGCAAATAAAAATGGACGAGGGACCTTTATGATTATATCATTGTTATAATTTTTTCGTTAAGCCACACGTGGATTACTGCGCTACTGTTTTGGGTAATAGAGCAAAAATATATATTGTCAACTTAGAACACTTCCAAAAGAAGGCAGACAGAATCAAGTGAAATTGTGATTTCTTTAAACCTATCTGTGATATGTTCAAATTCTTTAAATGGTTGCCTTTCAGTAGACGAATTTCATACAATCAGGCAATTTTACAAACAATATACCCATGATTTTAGCTTCACAAAATTAGAAATGTTTTACCTAAATGTCTGCTTTCTCGATACTCTTGAGGTTACGATCGCTTTCGCTCTCTGCACTCTGCATTTTTGTCTTTTAAGAAATCAGCAAAGTCTTCTTTTTTATGAAATTAGTTTTTCCTGTGCCTGTTTTTTATGTGTCTGTATTCACATTATATTCTCTTTATTTGTAAATATCGTATATGTGATCTATATTTTATCTTGACCAGGTGTAAGGCGAGCTATATACTCAACATGCTATCAAGTATTGATATAGCCAATCATTATAGCCAGTCATTACTGATATTTAAAGTCACCAAAATATCTTTATATTATAATTAATACAATCAATTTCAATTAGCTTTTAAAGTTTATTGTGCCATTGTAAAGACTGTTACTCGTTTCTTTGGCCGGACGGGAATGGTTTCGGGGTCAAATGCTTGAATTGTACATTGAAATCGTATGAGAGACTTGGGATTTATATTTCACTTAAATTTGAACCAACAATCATAATAATTATTGAACGAGTTATATATTTTCATGATAATATGATAACAGTTATGTTGGTAAGAAATGAAAGCATTTAGAATCATGTGAATAACAATATGTTAAATACAAACCTTTTATTATCAAAACAAAGTCCTCAGATTAAACACACACACCCGACACATCTAAAAAAGGAAATGAGTATACATTAAATTAAGATTCAATCAGATTTTCATTTCGTATACAAATGCAGCACACGTAATGCGAGAAGCCTAATATTATATGCGCAGTCAAACTCTAGCGATTTATCGTATTAAGCACTTTATAGGACTAGTTGTAAAAACGAGTGAGATTCATAATAATCAGAGCTATCACGGACAATCAAACCCGACCCCTCCAGTACCAAGACTCAAAATATCTTCTAAAAGAGCTTTGTATTTGGTCTTCAGACAGATGTTATTAAAATGCAGACACCTTTTGTTGCATGAGATGTTTGATATTCTAAACACATTTGTAATGTTGTTGAATAGGGAAACCCCACCATAAGGATTAAACAGCGAGATTGATGTGATGTTTATGGCCGATTTCATCTCATTTTTACATCTTTGGTCTCTCCATAAAGTTACAGGGTTACCTAGGATACTGATAACCTCGGGAGATATGGTATACGTGTGTTTTGTGTTTTAATTCTGTCCACGACAAACCATCTCACCTGTTGTAAATCTGTTTTAAAATCAATCGATACTGGAAATGCACGATACACAGTTTGATACATGAAAGTTACATAATTTTTATTGTTCGAAAACTCTTGATTGAAACGAAATATCACAGACAAGAATTGCATGGTTTGTTATCAACGAGGCTTCATTTATGAAACTATGAAAACTTTATTGAACAATCTCGTAAGGGACGTTCTATTTTGTGGCAGTTGAAACATTTACATGACAATCAGCTTTGGATCTGGTATGACGCACAGAAAACATAATTATGCCTCAATATAGATATTCCAATAAACTAGTTTTATATGGAGGATGACATGTCGTGCGAAGAAACGTTGGCATTATTTTCTTAACATAACCATATAAACAGCCCTTAATTAAAGTTCCCAGTCTAAAAAACATATTTATAACGTGTCATATATCTTTTCAACATTTGAATTGTATTACCAAAGACACGCAAGTGTATAATGGCTACTCTTTAAATTTTAAATTTTAGAATTTTTTCGAGGCTATTGAGGAGGAAAAATGTAATTAACAAGAAGTAATTATATGTTTTTTCTTAGTATAATCGAAATTTAAACGAAAGGTTTGCTATTCAGAGTTTGGACTGTGTCGCACCTGAATACATTCATAAGACATGAATATATTTGTAGTGGCGTATACTTTTTTTTTTAAATATTGTTAACAACATGATAAAGAACATAAATGGATATTCTAATGAAAGTAAGCAAAATGGAGATCTGTTCAGCAAAAACTGCTAAATCCATTTTCAAGGGAGATCATAAATAATTGATTATTATAAACAATACTTTGGTAACGATTGTCTTTTTACTACATCTATATCACCACATAGCGTTTCATATAACTTCCACTCAGCACAGGGTGTAAAACCTCTTTCATAATTTGGAGTGGTTCCTTGTTTTACGAGATAATTATGATTGTAGTCTGCATCCGGTCGTGTACTTCCCTCCCAGTTGCCTTTTGATGTTGTCTGATGAATGGCAGAAATTGTTTCTGTCGCATCAATGACAATGGCCTTGGCCATTCGCGCATGTGACACTATGTAGTTATCATAAGCACGGCGGCCAATCACAAGCGGCGGTACATTATCCCAAGGGAACCATTTTGTCGTGAAAAAATAGTCAGCAGAATGGATTTCGAAAAGCTTGCCTCGTTGAACGGCTGCTGTCTCTATATTTGGGAACGACGCTGCTTCCTTGAGGGACACATTCGGTACATTAGTCCTGATACCGGATATAAACACGGATGTTGGGGACTTAAATTTCTCCGCAATCGGATAAAGAGATTCGGATAATGCATCTGTAAATAAAATATCGCTATTGGCATAGCCGTAAAATGTTGAATTCATATCAGTCATTACAGTCTGAAACATCGTTTTTAACACCGGAGCCCCGCCGGCGGCATGATGCAAGATGGGATATGTAATCCAACCGTAATCCTGTGCTTGCGTTGATACAGTACTGTCGTTTGTAAACACCACTAAATTAAAGTTCGGTAAAAATCGACTCCAGTTTGTTAATGTTTTCTTATGAACATCACGCACGTGAATTTCGTCTTTCCATGAAGTAAATAAAGTAAGTATGGGCTGAGGCGAGACTGCTTTGTGTGGAGAAAGCAATAACCTCCTGGAATTGCATTCATGAATCAAACTTCTGATGGCGTAACGGAAGTCATTAAGGAAGGTTGTCTTTTGATCTAGAAATGGCATAGAACATGATTCGGGTATGTGATCAGCAATGGAATGTCGTCCATTGCTTGCAATGAAGTCTGCTGACCATCGGAGGAAACTATTTAATGAACATTCAGGTTTATTGTTCAGTCCTTTCCATGATACAATAAATACAAACATATTTATAGCACCAAGCGCTGCAACAACCATTACAAATCTCCGCATCAGCCCTTCTTTTGACATGGTGCTTAACCCAGTCTCGTTGAATTTTCTTGTCAAGGTCTTTGTTTCGATAGCACCATAGTACTATGTTTGTCTGAAAGATACCAAAAATGGGAACGATAAATTATCTTCGAAAAATGTATAATTTTATTTCTTGTCCAACTGTAAACAAGGGATAAGGTATAAGTAATTCTCCTAACCATCTTCCAACAAATATATAATACAAAAAATACTATCTATACGTGACACGAATATTTTCTGTACATAGCCATGCTTATTTCATCGTTTTTAGGCACACGCAACAATATGATCCTCTTCTAGTTACAAACTTTGAAAAAAAAAATTTTAAAAACGAGCCACAATTCTGCAATTTGAACGAAGGCACACCTCTTCATACTTACGAATATTTCCCACATTTTAATTAATCTGACTGGTTTAAACTTATCATATATCGATCTGTGTCCAAAATAATTGTCACGTGTTTGTTTGGTTTATGATAGATAGTGTAAAAAATTACTAGAAAAACGGCTATATCTAGCTCTAAATACTGAGTTAGTGATTTGTGTCTTGTATAAAATCTTCGAGATTGCGAGGGGTAGAACACCGATATTATCGTAACCTGCCATGTTTTAATTCATACGAATAGTGGCACGGTTTAGAATATACACAAGTACTAGACGTTGTTCTAAAAATATCTGAGATATGAAATTTACTATTTTTTAATCATGGGGATACTGGACCTTCCCATCTAGATTTTTCTCAATTGCCTTTAAATCATGCAGCACTCTGGCAAGCGTATACATAAGGTAATGGACACCAGCCTTGTTGTACCAGGTAGCATTCTTCAATGGCGCATATTTCCACCTGATGCACTTTATTCAGGTGTAATAAATTTTAGGTCATGTGCATCACTGACAAGTTGTAAAAGGCAAAAACAGCTATATGATGCAATTTAATTCATAGGTTGGTTATATCTAATTCTAAGCCAGTATTAAAATATGGTGTTGGATTGTGTGTCTTTCGTACAATCTTTGTATACTGTCAGACAACCTAGTTTAATCCTAGGCGAAGCAAGCTTCTCCGAGTCTGTTCCTAGTGCCAACAGTATCCTGAATCAACGCCACGGACTACACTATAATCTATATGTCCTATTATACTTTTGTATCATGTTTCTTGTATCTTGATGTTGCTGTTAACTATTTTCACCTTTTGACCAAACTTCTGAAATAAATTACAGATCATCGTTCTACCAATGCTACTTGTAGAGATCCTAATTCTAAATTATACATTTAAAGGTTTTTGTTGAATTTGATTCAAATACCTGCATAAAGTGCATCGGGTAGATATATGTGTCAATTACCTTACGTATATGCGTCACAGTGTACTTTAATGCCGGTTTTTTTGCATGTGTTGAGATGAGAAGATAAGAGAAGGAAAAATCTATTTGTTTATTATGCTTTCGAAGAGGAAGAAAAAAAATGTTTTCATGTCGTTCTCCGAAGCTGCTTTGTTACTTCAATACTTGCCGATCGTATCGTCTAATGATCTCTGACACCAATCATTATACATCTACCCACTAGTTAAACATTTCAGCTACAAATGACTGAATTATTCACCGGTAAAGCTTCCTCTTTACTGCACTGAGAGTTCGCTTTGATCTCATGTTAGAAAACAATATTATTTTATAATACATTTTAAATACATTAAGTGTAAATAAAGGGTGTAAACCTGTCTAAAATGTTATGTAATCTGATGTTGATAAATACATACCTTTCATTTACTCTATATTTTTGCCAAATTTTGTTTTAATTGCTTTAATTTCTTGTCAGTAATCTATTTACATTCCTCAAATTTAATATAAACCAAATTTAACTAATATATTATGCAAAAACTGCGTCAAAGCCATTTCGGTTTTAGGTAAATTATTCGTGTTTTCACTAGTTGCTTTTTAATTGGCTTGGTAGATTTTCAGACTGGCCTTTTTCACCTGCTCTGACAGCAGATACAAAACTTTCACCCACCCAGACATCACAAATATGATAACTGAAATAACGGATAACTTAATAGCACATTGAGGCAACAGCATGAAAACTATCAAATTAGAATAATATATATGTTTTCTTTATTCGATTTTATTAAAACCTGTTTTTACTTCTAATTCCGATTGATGCTAAATGTATAAATGTGCATTGTCGCTTCACACACATACTAGTTGGTCATTTCACACACACATAGGCGAACGAGTAATGTTCGCCTGAGGGTATACCTGCATCATTTCTACTACATCAGTGAATTACGACATACCGTAGTCGCGAAGACAAGAAGTGAGAATAACACAAAATCTTCATCATTTTAACTGAGTTAAACAAACATGATAATTCAAAAGGTAAATAATTTATTAGTGATACTAACAAAAAGACAACTCACCTATACCATACACTGTCCGCTAAATATCCTGCCTTGCTGGAGGTTTTACCTGTAATGGGTCTTTCCCATGCAACACCATCTATCAACGTATTCGTGGGGGCTGTCTCAAAAGTTATTTCTTATTGTCGTATGTGCTCCGGCCTGTTATAAGCTCTTTGTTTCGGTCACATTTCTCATTAGGAATTCGAGGGCAAATGTACAGGATAGAGCAAACATCGAGTCACATGACACAAAATGCAGTATTGCACTGCATTGTAAATTGGTTGTGTCATGTCACATTGAGCGGAAAACGCGATCCAAACGAGATATCAAACCCGTTTATCTTCCGCTTTATAAGGAGCATTCTTACCTCGTTGTATATGCAAATCAGTGTTTTTACCCATGAGACTACGGACAAAACAATTTCACCGTGCAGTGCGAACCATCGGAACAGCATGGTGACAGCAAATATTACCAGTACCACAGGATACAATTTCTCAGAAGTTAAAATCGACTCTGTTATTAAAAAGAAAATATTTTTCTTTTGAATTTACATCATTGAAATCTGGCTAGTATTACATTTTGAAGAAATGGCCCTTATCTGATACTACATTTAGCCAACAATGTATATTGCTATATGAGTCTAATATGAAAAGGCAGTAGTACGAACGTTTGTGTATGTCGTCTGTCTGGGCATTCAATATCACATTCAAATGTAAAAAATTACACAACGTGGTATTTGAATTTGAAGGTAAACGAAAGAAGTGCCATCTGATACAAGGTAAGTTGTACTACTTGATATTCCAACGTTAAAAATAAACTGTTTCGACACTGAATCAAATTTTTATGCTATGGGAAGACCACAGGTTCGAGAATGATTATTTGAATTGTCCATATATTTGACAATAAATTATCATAATTTTCAAACTTGACCCTGATTTGCCATTCAATTATACATTGCACAATGGTATTTTCAAAATCAAGATCAGGTGTTATTTGAAGATAATAATTGCAACATCTGCGCTAAGAATATTACTTTTTAATATCAAACTAGCCTAAACGAATAATATGTTACAGGTGAAGTGATGTACATAATGTAGCTATATCACACATGCTAAAAGACAGTAAATATTGAGTTTATCTATCCTTGAATTTTACTGAATCTGAAGCAGCATGGAAACATGTATTGATTCCATGCTTTTAAAGAATATTTACTGAAATTAGATATGAAATCAAAACACAATCATAACAAAAACAAGCTGTCAAACATGACATGTAGTTTGATAAGGTCGAAGAAACACGCAATATTGTTTTTATTTTATGCATTTGTCATGCTATCTGGTTTTGAAAGGACGTTAATTTTTTATGTTCATATGCGTTGCATTGTACCCTATTAAATGTATAACGTTACAAATAACTCGACCCGTGCACATAGCCTACTTATTTACGTAGATTCCCTGACAGTTCAGAAAGGCTACATGCCTTGTTATGACTACGTGCAAGGAAGTAAAAGGAATTTACAATAAAGCCATTAACCACAGCCAACAAGTGTATCACTTGAAAATATGTCAAAGTCATTTATGTTAAGAAACTTGAAAGCCAATGAGCTTCCTGTATATGAAATATCAACCTTGTGAAACTTGAGAAGTTTTTTTTAAAGTTTGTTACCCAAATTAGCAAATTTACAACTTTTACCCCAATCGAAAACCGGAAGTTGAAATCTTAGACAGATTTTGATGATCACAATTAATAGTAACTGAGCATAGTACACTACAGCCAAATTTCATCACAATATGCTACTTGGATATTGAGAACATGGTATTGAATTTTTTGACATTATTGACCCCTGTGATCGAAAAATTAGGTCAAATTCATTTATATTCACAAACATGAAAGGCAATTATTCTGAACATCTTAAATAAAATATAGCTTGCCTCTAGCTCTTGGAAAATTTGAGAAGTTTTTAAATATTTGTTTAGAAATTTCAAAGTTAGATTTTACCCCTCCCGAAAACCGGAAGTTGACGTTTTACAAAAAAACTTTTTCCTGAGTAATATTATTTTTGTTATCTTACAGAATATATTTTAAGATGAATTAAATACATTCAGCCGTTAACGAAATATTGCAATTAAGGGCAAAAGCGGACATGACGTCATGGTGGCCATACATTTTTTCTGATGAAGTTGAAAATGCCCATAACCGGTAGAGAAGATCTGAGGAAACCTGTTCCATAATAGTTTTGTTAAATATAAGTAATTGATACAGGCCGAAAAAAAGTTTTACCAATTTGTCGACATTTAAAAAAAATCAAAATGGCGTCCAACGTTAACGGTAAACGTTAAAGAAAAACTGAAAACATTAACTTTATCTGAATGTCTTTCTGCATTGGTCTATTAAAGAATTTTTCAATAAAAAAATAAAAGAAAAAAAAGAAAAAATGAAAAGAAAAAATAAAATTAATGACTCAACAGCGAGCTATTTTTATTTTTTATTTTTTTTTTTTTTTTTTTTTGCAAATTTTGTATTAGCATGTACGCGAAACAGAGAGAATTATCTACAAATAATATTATTGCATGAACTCTGTACAATTAACAAGTTTTTGAAATATAACGTCA